GCATGTTTTGGTCACCATAACGAACCACTAAGTTGGTATTGAGAGTCGAAAAACAACGAAGAGTTACCGCCACACACCAGCCAGCCACTCGCTGCCACTCCCTCAACACACGCACTAAACTTTCTTCCCCAACAATACCATTTGGGGTGTTATTACACTATATACAGACGTTATATATAAGTACAGGCATACCTCAGTTTAAGAGTTTAATTGGTTCCTGGAGACGCCTCGTATTCCGAAAGCTCATATTCCGAAGCTAATTTCCCCATAAGAAATAAAGGGAAATGAATTAATCCGTTCCTGACTACCCCAAAAACCCCACATCAAACTAAATTTTTATACTTAATTCATCTAAATAAATAATAGGAGGGGGGAGGAGGAGAGGAGTTACTGTTTGGAAGGGGAGTCCCCTTCCATTATCATAAAGATATAAAACCTGACTGAAAAACCATCTCCAATCCAAGGTGGACGGGCCACCGAACTTTCAAGCCTCCTCTCTCCACATCCAAATCCTCTTCCAAGAATTTCATCGCCCCATCCTTCTTCCTCCCACATCCTTTCCAAGCTCTTTGGACATCAAACCAAACCAAACCAAACCTTCCATTATCAGGCAGTGAGGACCTTTCTGGTGTGCTTCCCCTGAGACGATTTATCTGAGTGCCACTAGGTCCTGGTTGAGGCTCGCTGCTCGATTTCCTCACCACAAATCTGTCTATGGAAGCTTGCTTTTCCCTTCTTCGCAAGCTCTCTCTGTAGTAAGGCATCACATTGTCATTGAAAAGATTAAGACAACGGCCTACTACAGCTTTCTCTGGGTGAGTCTGTTCAATAGTTGTTTGAATCTCTTCCCACATCTGACACACCTTCTTAATTACTACAGAAGGGACATTCGCTGGTGCTGTTGGTGCTGCTACCACCTCCTCCCCCACTGCAGATTCATCCGCTGCTGCGTTGGCTTGCTGTTCCTGTTGAAGGGCTAGGAGTTCTTCGGTGGTCAGTTCTTCGTTGTGTTCTTCCACCAACTCCTCCACATCATCACCATCCAATTCCAAGCCCATTTGCTGGCCTAGACTAACAATTTCCTCAACAATAGGCGCATCATTTATAGGCTCAAACCCCTCAAAGTCTAGTTCTCTCACACATTCAGGCCACAATTTTCTCCAGCCAGAGATCAGGGTTCTTTGAGTCACTTCTTGCCAGGCTTTGTCAACAAGTTTTAAAGCACTACAAATGTTAAAATGCTGTTTCCAGCACTCTTTGAGGGTGAGGTTTGTGGCTTCAGTCACTTCAAAACATTTTTGGAAAAGTGCCCTTTCATAAAGTTTCTTAAAATTCGCTATGATTTTCTGGTCCATAGGCTGAATTAGAGGAGTGGTGTTAGGAGGAAGGAATTTAACTGTGAGGAATTTATTGTATCTGGGCAACAAATCATCTTCCAAGCCTGGAGGATGAGCAGGAGCATTGTCGAGGAGAAGCACGGCTTTGAGTGGCAAATGTTTCTCCTGCAGATATTTTTCTATGGCAGGGCACACCACTTCATTCACCCACTCCAAAAAAATAAGCCTAGTCACCCATGCTTTTTTATTAGACTTCCACATCACACACAAATGGGTTTTCTGCACTTTATACTGTTTGAAAACCCTTGGATTTTCAGAATGATACACTAGCAAGGGTTTAATTTTCAAATCGCCACTCGCATTTGAACACAGCACAAGCGTAAACGTATCTTTCATAGGCTTGTGTCCAGGCAAGGATTTTTCCTCCTTGGTAATGTATGTCCTCTTAGGCATTTTTTTCCAAAACAATCCTGTTTCGTCATAAACACTTGTTGCGGTAGGTATCCCTCAGCCTCTGCAAACTCTTTAAATTCGTCAATAAATCGTCCAGCGGCTGGTTTGTCTGAGCTGGCTGCCTTCCCATGCCTTGTAACACTATGGATACCACTTCTTCTAAATTTTTCAAACCAGCCCCTGCTTGCCTTAAACTCTTTCGTATCTGCATCACTCGTTGCAGGGGTATTCTTTAGAAGGTCTTCGTGCAATACCCTGGCTTTCTCACAAATAATGGCCTCCGAAATACTGTCACCCCTTAACTCCTTGTCGTGTATCCAAATTAATAACAGCTTTTCCACTTCAAGTATTTGTGGTCTTTGTTTCGTTATTGTTCTTACTCCTTTTGCCACTTTAGCACCCATAATCTCATTTTTCTTCTTAAGTATAGTGCATATTGTTGATGTGGCTTTGTTGTACTGCCTACAAAGTTCAACAACACGTGTACCGTTCTCATGCTTCCGAATGATCTCTTGTTTCTCCTCTATTGTCATCCTCACATGGGCTTTCTGGCCTTGATCCTTACCACTGGCTTTCTTGGGACCCATGGTGAGATATATAATAACAAATTGTATAGTCAAATCACCAAAAATCCAACAAAACACTGAAAATCCGCGAGAAGAATTGATGTGGGGTAGTCACTGAGCGCGAGACAATGGTAAACTGAGGGGCGGAGGGGCGACGATCGCCGAACCACCACGTGCTAGGTCGGCCTGTACGCGTATCAACAAACTCGCGTCCCGAGGTAACCCTCGCGTTCCAAGACATATTTTTCGAGGAAATCCTGCTCGTCTTCCGAAAAACTCGCATACAGGGACACTCGCATTCCGAGGTACCACTGTATGTATATATTTTGTTCACCACAACTGTATAGCTAAGCTGATATAGTTAGTTCAGGCACTAAGAGTCGTCGCTATACACAGATGGTGGCTGGCGGCTCCCTCACTCATTCAAGGTCACACGCACTAAACTTTCTCCCCCAACAATACTGTTCGCAGAGTTATTACACTATATAACATATTATATATAAGTATCTACATGTTTTATGCACTGTAACTGTACACCTAAGCTTGTAGTGCACCCAAAGAGCATAGTGGCCACCCTGTAAACAGCTAGACAAATCGTGCAGATGACGTCACCTGCGTCACCCATATGGCTCCTCCCAGCATAATCCTTTTGCTGTTATTACACGAATACCCACATTATATATAAGTATCTACATTTGTGTTCACCATAGAGAACCACTGACCTGGTATGGTGAATGCAAACAATAACGGGTAGCCACACAGTCAGTAAATGATGCCGTCTCCCTCTGTCTCTCAGCATCACTCCTCCCACAGCGCTAATTATTACAACAATCCTGCTATTATCACAACCCTGGTTATTTATATCACAGTCATGGGTCATCTGTAATATTGTCATCGCTAAATAATAACAATTATATATTTATTTTGACATTTTTCGGCGATGCTGTGGTCACAAGCTGAACAGCAATGCTGTTCGCTCATGCTGCGTGCGCCAGCCTTGGTTGCTCCAACAGTACTGTGCTTCTCACACCTGAGAATATTGCCCACGATTTTTTTTTTAAATGGCGTCTGTTTACAAGAGCCCTGAGGAAGCTACTGTGAACCCCGTGTAGCCGCGGGCCATTTGAATCGGGCCTGGACCCTATGGCGTATATATACGCCATGCGCACCTTGGGACATGTTACTCAGGGCATATATATATACGCCATGTGCAGTTTAAGGGTTAAAAGCAATTTTGAAGTTACAAAATGTAGCATAGGCTCCTCGCACAATGTTCTTAATGTGGTCCTCAGGTGATAGTTTTCTATTACTATCTAGAACCATCCCTAGATCCCTTTCTTTGTCAGAATTCTTTAAAGATTTCTCACATAATTTATAGGTTGTGTAGGGGGTCTATGTTCTATTCCACATTCCATAACATGGCATTTATTCACATTAAATTCCATTTGCCAAGTGGTGCTCCATATACTTATTTTGTCCAGGTCTTGAAGGGCATGACAATCATCTAGGTTTCTTATCTTCCCTTCCTTTCTTATCTTTCTTATCTTATCTTAGCATCATCAGCAAACATGTTCATATAATTCTGTATTCCATCTGGTAGATCGTTTATGTAGACAATGAACATTACCGGTACAAGAACTGAACCCTGTGGTACTCCACTTGTGACATTCCTCCAATCCGATATAATGCCTCTGATTACGGCCCTCATTTTTCTATCGAGAATTTTTTCATCCATGTTAGAAGCTTAACTATCACCCCTCCAATATGTAATTACCTAAGTGTAGTTACAGGATGAGAGCTACGCTTGTGGTGCTCCGTCTTCCCAGCACTCTTTGTCATATAATGCTTTGAAATTACTGATGGTTTTGGCCTCCACCACCTTCTTACCTAAGTTGTCCCAACCGTCTACCACTCTGTTTACAAAAGTGAATTTTCTTATATTTCTCCGGCAAGTTTGTTTTGTTAGTTTATATCTATGACCTCTTGTTTTTGAAGTTCCGGGTCTCAGGAATTCTTCCCTATCAATTTTTATCGATTCCCATTACTATTTAGAACGTAATGATCATATCGCCTCTTTTTCTTCTATCTTCTAGTTTTTGCATATTTAATGCCTCTCGGTTGAGCAGACAGCAAGCTGGACTTGAGATCCTGTGGTCCCTTGTTCGATCCCGGGCACCGGTGAGAAACAATGGGCAGAGTTTTTTCACCCTATGCCCCTGTTACCTAGCAGTAAAATAGGTACCTGGGTGTTAGTCAGCTGTCACGGGCTGCTTCCCGGGGGGTGGAGGCCTGGTCGAGGACCTGGCAGCGGGGACACTAAAGCCCCGAAATCATCTCACGATAACCTCTCTTCGTAGCTCTTGTCCTTGGTGTGTGTGTGTAATGTGCACAGTTTGGTGACAGTTGCTCAAATTGTATATACTGTATACAATGTGCATGATTTAATGGTTAATAAGACAAGGTGTAAAATCCTTGCTGCGAGTTGCCTTTTCTTGTTCGGTCTCCCACTTCCTATTTTCTATTCACATATGATTTGGAGTAAAGTATATTACCGATGCTTAACTATTAATACTTAATTTTCTTTATTTCCAGAATAATAAATCCAGTAATAATTTAAATACCTTATTTTATACATTTTCAACAGACAACTGGAAACGAGCAAAACGATATCGTAAAGATGCTGAAGAAACATCGGATGTGGGCTCTGAGACGGACTCGGACGGAACTGTAGCACAAAGAAGAAAATCCAGAAAATTGGTAAAAAGATGTGATACAGGTAAGTGTGATTTTTTTATGAATATTATGCATTCTTATCAGCTCGATACAGAACATTTGTAACACTCTAAATTCCTTCTTAGACTACACCAGTCACTATCTGAGGGTTTCTGCCAAGTTCACATTACTATCTGGGGTTTCCTCCTGTTATTAGGTAGCCTCAGTCTTTAGCACAGGACAGGCTAGCAGTGTGGGTTGAGCAACAACTGGGAGAAGACATCACCTCCCCAAAGACCAGACGAACACCCAACTGGACTTAGAATTTATGGTAGTTTAGTGAGTGTTTCTTTATTTCCATTTTTGATAGTTTTGTGTCAATAAACATTGTTTAATATTTATGATATTTCTGGGGGGAGCCCCGTCGGCTCCCCGGAGCTTTACCGGCTGATATGCTAATGTCAGACTTTGGCATCAGTCATGTGTATGTGTATGGAGTTCTAGGGCCTACCGGGGACCACGGCCAGAACCTGGCCCCCTCAGAGAGGCAAGGGGAGCAATGGCCTATAGAAACCCCCGTGTGGTTGGAAGCATTCTATGTCTGCCATCGACCGGGTCAAGCATCCAGAAAGGTAAGCATTCCAAAACAAACCCCTATTCTGGTGAAAATTGCTACCTAAAGCCGAACTAGTGGATAGAACTCAACAGAAAACAAGGAAACTAGTATGACGTCATACGTCACCGCGCCGCTGTCTGCGCAGCTCCCCCCTCCCCGGGAGGGGGAAGGGAGAGCCCCAGACCTCCCACGCCGGCTATCCACCCATCAGTTCTTCGGCTGATGCTATGGGCAACGGTTATGTGCTCCGGCTCCAGTGGTTGTTTCAGCACTGTACCTAGAGTGTGGTGTCTGTTTTCTAGGTGGTGCGTGAGCCGGGAGTGATTCTCCAGTACTCGGGCTGCATGCGCCTAGGGTTCCCTTCCCTAGGTGCCCTGTAAGTACTGCCCTTGGGGCTTGGGGCCACCTTCCACAAGTTCTTTGGGTCCGGCCCCTGCTTGGCCGTTTACTGCTTGGTTTTCGGCCGCTCTTTGTGTGCTCGGGTGTTCTGTCTCCCTTGTTCGCCTTAGAGTAAGGGGCAGTTTTTGCACTGGTGGGGCGCAGGGTACTGTGCAGCTTGTCTTTACCAATCATAGCGGCCGGCTCTGTTCCGCTTGGGTACGCTGTCATCTTGCGGGGTTTTCTTTTTCTTTTTGTTTATCTACCTGGTGGGGGGTCTGCCTTCGTTCTTGCCCCTTGTGTCCCTTGTGTTCTGAGTATTTTCTGGTGATACCCCCTGCTAGGTCCCCGTGAGTGTACACGTCCCGGGGGTTCAGCTCTTAGAAAGTTGTTTGGTAGCTTTGGGTGCCGGTTAGCAGTACCCTGCCTGGGGTTACCTGAGCACGAGTCCTCTTATAGTAAACGCTCGGGACCCTGGGAAACCCCTGGGGGCGCGCAGGTCCGATGGATGTGACCCCAGAGTCTCCTCCTCGCTTCCAGTGAGTTTGAGGGTTGCTCTCACCCTTTGTCTCTGAGTGACTCTCTGTTTTGCCTCCGTCTGCTACCTGTGGGGTCGGTGACACCTTCGACCCGGAGTCCTGCGAGTTTGGTTGCTCGTTGTGGCTCGGTTACCCAGTTGTGCTAACAAAGCGGGTGCGGGCAGCAGGGGCGTTGCACTTGAGCCTTGGTGGTGGCAACGTTCTCGTGGTTTCCTCCCCGGGAGCCCCGGGGCTGCCCCGTTGTAGTTCGTTTTGGGACTTGGGGGTGTTGGTTGCTTCGGTTCCATCCACGCCCCCTTGTCTTTCCCCTGGATCACCCTTCCTGCCTGCATCCGGTTCCTTACCGTCTGTAGGTTCGGGGCGGGGTTTTTGATGGTGTTGAGACTCGGGCAGTCTCGGAGAATTCCCCTTCCGGGGTAGTGACGGGGGCATTTGAGCCTGTTCCTCCAGCCGTGTTGTATGAGTCTGCCAGTGGGCTCCCTTCCTTAGTGTTTTCACGGCTGCCCCGGTTTTCTGGTACGGCTGGGGCTTTGGGGGAACGGCTCGGCCCCGGGGCCTGTCGTGTAGGTTCCCGGGGCTGGGGAGGGGCTGACTTGGGGGGCCTTGGCCCCATTGGACCCCGTGGGGTTTTTTATCCCTCTAGACGGGGTTTGTGGTTACGCAGAGTGGGGTCTTTCCTCCCCACTCGCCGTACGTGCTGTTGGGCTACTTGTCGCCCTGTTGGGCTACTTGTCGCCCTGTTGGGCTACTTGTCGCCCTGTTGGGCTACTTGTCGCCCTGTTGGGCTACTTGTCGCCCTGTTGGGCTACTTGTCGCCCTGTTGGGCTACTTGTCGCCCTGTTGGGCTACTTGTCGCCCTGTTGGGCTACTTGTCGCCCTGTTGGGCTACTTGTCGCCCTGTTGGGCTACTTGTCGCCCTGTTGGGCTACTTGTCGCCCTGTTGGGCTACTTGTCGCCCTGTTGGGCTACTTGTCGCCCTGTTGGGCTACTTGTCGCCCTGTTGGGCTACTTGTCGCCCTGTTGGGCAACTTGTCGCCCTGTTGGGCAACTTGTCGCCCTGTTGGGCTACTTGTCGCCCTGTTGGGCTACTTGTCGCCCTGTTGGGCTACTTGTCGCCCTGTTGGGCTACTTGTCGCCCTGTTGGGCTACTTGTCGCCCGGTTGTTCTCTTTGCTTCTTTGGCCGGTTTTATTGTTCCTGCTTCCTCTTTTGGCAACTTTTCTCGTGCAGTAGTCCTGGCTGGCGCCTTCCCGCAGAGAGGGTGTGCGGTTCGGCCAGCGTGTTATGCGCATGCGCCGTGGAGTTTGTTTTGGTCTGGGCGGTGTTTCAGTGCTGGTGTTTTGCACCCTTTTTGCTACAGTGCTTCGCCTCTCGTTCTTCTCCCTGGCTGCGGTATGTGCCCCTTCGCGCCGGGGGTGTCCTGGTTCCCAGTTGTGGGGAGGACACCGCGGTTTTCCCTGTGTCATGGGTGTGGACCGCCTCCTTCGCCTCTCCCTGCTCTCCTGCGGGTCCGGCAGGGTCCGGCTCTGGCGTCTTCACCTGGCGGTGCTCCCAGGTTCTTCTGGGCACGGTTGAGTCGTGTCAAGTTCGTGCCACCGTTCGCCAGGTGAGTTTCTGCGGTCTGGCATCTTTTGGCCGGGCGCTGGATGCGGAGTTGTTTATATACCTGTCTTTATTTAGGTATGTTTTTGTACGACTGAGACCGTTCGCACACCAGTGACTGTCCCTTTTTCAACCCTTCCTGTCCCCCTCATGTGCATGTCCAACCCATGCTGGAGTCATTCAGGGGACCCTCCTTTTTTAATGTTGTGAGGTGTGGGGGTTGTTGGGTTGGTTCTGTACTCACCTGGTTAGGCTCCTGGCTGTGCTTGCAGGATTTGAGCTCTGGCTCTTGGGTCCCGCCTATCTGGTAGAACTTGGGGGATAGTACCAGTGGAGTGCAGGGGTGCTATTGGCACATTTGGGGAACACTGTATTACCATCAGTGGTCTGTGCTTGTTACACAACCTACTTGCGAGCATAAGCCTTCTTGCTGGTTTGTCCGTGGACTTCCAGGGCGCACTAGCCTGTTTTCGTATGGCAGTTCAGGCCCGTCCTGGTTGTGGGGGTATGTGGGCCGGTGGACTGCTCCTAGCAGCTGCCTGGTGGGCCACCCTCTGGCCGGTCTAGCCTGGCCTTGGGCCGGGCTTGAGGTGTAAAAGAGCTCCCAGTACCTCATCCAGCAGGTATCGAACGGGGTTTCTCCGCCGTCGGTCGCCTGGTGCGGGTTTCTGGGCCTGCGGGGTTTTGTCGTGTCTCCGTTGGCCCTGTCTGGGGTCTGCCTGCTCCGTTCTCTGCCTTTGCAGAAGGGAGTTGCTATTTACATGTTGCATGTTGCAGTGGTGCCTGTTGCTGCTGCTGCACCTGTGCATTGGTACCATGTTTCACAGTGGTGTGTCCTTGTTCCTGTGTCCGGTTGTGGAGTGGCACTTTGCTGCCGTATTGTGCCTGGGGATTGCGTGGGGGTTTTTCTGTCCCTGCCTGATTGTCCACCCCTGGTTGTTCTCCTGGGGTTTTTGTGCTTCTGCTCTTTCTTCCTGCCTCCTCTGCAGCAGGGGTGTTCTGCGTGTGTTCTTAGGCGTTTGTCAGCCTGTGTCCTGTGATGTGCGTCTTTGTCTCGGTCTATTGCAGTTGTTCGTACCCCTTGGTTCGGGTACTGTTCTGGCGGCGACCATTCCGCCTTCTTTGATTTCCTAGCTTGCCCTGCCTTTTTTTTTTGGGGGGGGGTCTTGCGATGTCTCGCGTGGATATCAGCCATGGATAGCTCCGGGGAGCCTTTTGGGACTCACCCAGAAAATGGTGTTTCATTGCATTCATCACTGTTTTTTTTGGGGGGGGGGAGGGGTCTTGCGATGTCTCGCGTCGGACCCGTCGTTTCTGAACTCCTGGCGGGCTTGCATGCTTTGGGGAGTTTTTTCTGTTCGGCAGACTTTCCATCTCCTTGTGCCGCCTGGGTTTCGGTGGTCGCGCCCGAGATCTTCCCGCGGCTCCGCCTTTTCCTGGGCTCGGAGGGGCCTTGTCGGGGCTGCTTATGTTCTGCCTCGCGGTCTCGCCTCCTGTTGGTGGTCGGGTGGCTTCGTCGTAGGTGTCCCACCTGCGTGCTTCTCTTGGCGGCAGTATGGGGTATTTTGGCGGTCCTTCCTTTTCCTGTCCCTTCTTAGGTGGTTACTCTTGTTAGCTTGGTTTACTTTCGGCTTGGTTTTCTGGTGGGGGTTGGGGGCCGTCGTCTTGCCACATACTGTCGCCTCTTCGTGCGGCGCGGGTGGAGCCGCTTCAGCTTGCTTTCGGTCTTGGTGTTGCTTCTGCACCGTTAGTCAGCTGTCTTGTGTGTCGTTTCACCTCCGGCCTGTTCGTGCGCCGCTTTCACCATCCTGGTCTCTGGTCAGCGTGCTCTGTCTTCTCCTCGGTTGGTAGTGCCCCTTCGGTTTCGGTGTGTTTTTTCGTCGGCTTTTTTTTTTTGGCCTTTGCCTCTGGGGGTCGAGTCGCTGAGTTT